CCTCTTGGCCAAGTGTCAAAGGGCTATTTAGCACACAGTCCAGAATTCAGTGTTTCTCCTCGTTGCCTTTAAGAGAAGATATGTATTTCACAAAAAAAGAAACACAGATTGGGGTGCCTGGGTGGCTCAGTCAGTTGAGCATCCGACTTTGGCTCAGGTCACGATCTCACGGTGGGTTTGAGCCCCGTGTCGGGTTCTGTGCTGACAGCTCAGAGCCTGGAGCCTGCTTCGGATTCTGTGTTTCCCTCTCTCTCTCTCTGCCCCTCCCCTGCTCGTGCTCTGTCTCTCTCTCAAAAATAAATAAACATTAAAAAATTTTTTTAAATAAAAAAAAGAATTCTGGGGCGCCTGGGTGGCCCAGTCGGTTGAGCATCTGATTTCGGCTCAGGTCATGATCTCATGGTCTGTGGGTTTGAGCCCCGCGTCGGGCTCTGTGCTGACGGCTCAGAGCCTGGAGCCTGCTTCCGATCCTGTGTCTCCCTCTCTCTCTGCCCCTCCCCCACTCTCACTTTGTCTCACTCTGTCTCTCAAAAATAAATACAAAATGTTAAAGAAAAAAAAAAACACAGATTGATTATCAGGTAAAAGAATGTGTAGTCTTGTGTTGTAAGTAGCGTCCACGGTGGTTAACGGATCCAGTCCCCGCCTTACATGTAGCGGCCACCTGGCCTGCCATAGGTGACCCAGCCTCTTGGGACTTCCGTTCCTGCCCCCCGTTGAAGGAGGTGGAGAGCGCCCCCTTGGGAGGACGATCTGGTTTACATCGTTCACGGGGCGGGGGCCAGAGCTGAGAAGGCAGCAGACGGTTACTGGTGTGGTTTCACGGGATCGATGTGAATCCAGCAGCTTTAAGGAGCAGGCATTGGGACGCCGGCTTCCACTGTATCCAGGGGAGGTGGCGGCAGATTCCCGAGACGGACCGACGTGTTTCCTGTAAGAGTGTGGTGCTGGGGGTGACCCGTGGTCCCGACCCTAACGAATCTGGCTTCTCGTTCTTCCAGCAGCAAACGGGAGCTCTTCGGGAAAAGTCGGGAAGCCTCTGTGCGGAGCCACAAAGAGGTCCATCGCCAACAGTGAAGAATCTGAAGCTTACAAGTCCCTCTTCACTTCCCACAGCTCTGCCAAGCGCTCCAAGGAGGAGTCGGCCCACTGGGTCACCCACACGTCCTACTGCTTCTGAAGCCCGTACCGCACCAGGCGCCCCGCAGGCCCTGCTGGGTCTCCGCGGGGGCGGTGCTGTCCCCTGTGCTCTGCCGGCCCTCGGCGTGTGCGCGGTGGGGACGTCGCCCTCCCAGACCTCGGAGCCGGCGTGGTCGCCCTTGCTGGCGAGGGGCGCGGGTTCCCCGGGTGGCCGTGCCGGCACCTGCCCGCCCCCCCCCCGCAGGCCCCGCGCCCGCTTCCCCCTGTAGATGCGCCTGTCCCCCCAGCACCCAGAAAGACGCATGGGCTGAAAATCATTAAAGACTCCCGATTCCTCATGGGTGTGTGCGTGGCTCATTTTGACCAAAACAGGCCAAGAGAAACTGACCTTGACAAAGAAAGAGCGAGTTTTAAACGCACTGTGCCGCAGGTGTGGTTGAGGGAACTGCTCCGTACTGGCAGAGGGGAGCAGGGCCTTGGCCCTCGAGGTTCAGGGCAGCTTCCTTTATCGGTTTCAAGACAGAAGAGAGTTAGGACACTTGATGCTTTGCCACAGAATGAAACACATCTGCCTTTCCTCCGTCTGTCTGTGTTTTCTGTCTTCTGTCTTCCGTAATGTTCTGGTAAGGGAATTGTAGCCTTTCCATTGATGGTGATCAGAGCAATCCCGTGTCCTACGAATTCCTTTTTCTCCCAGAAGATGAAGGGAATTCTACGTAAAATCGGTGTGTTTTACCTTTACCTGTGCTCTGTGTTGACATCAGTCATTGAAACGTCCCGTGAGACAGCAGATGAGGAGCCGTGAGTAGCCCCGGTTGTGGCATGGACGTGATTGGCTGGTTGGTTAGCAGCTGGTCCAGGGCCTGGCTTCCATTAAAAGGAAGGAAACCGGGGCGCCTGGGTGGCGCAGTCGGTGAAGCGTCCGACTTCAGCCAGGTCACGATCTCGCGGTCCGTGAGTTCGAGCCCCGCGTCAGGCTCTGGGCTGATGGCTCGGACCCTGGAGCCTGTTTCCGATTCTGTGTCTCCCTCTCTCTCTGCCCCTCCCCCGTTCATGCTCTGTCTCTCTCTGTCCCCAAAATAATAAACGTTAAAAAAAATTTAAAAAAATTAAAAAAAATAAAAAAAAAGGAAGGAAACCGAGCTGGGGGAGGCCCCGGGAGGGAGGGTCCTGTCCCCAAGTTCTCTGCCTCTACGTGGTGGGAAGTTTAGCCCCTGAGGAGGCATCCATACTGTGAATAGAGAAGGATTTTCATCAGAATTCCATCAACATTGGGTTTTGTTGTGGACTTCTCCAGAACAAACCTGCATTACCCGTCTTCTACCTGCTGCCCCTATTCCACAGAGCCCAGTTGATCCATTTCTTAGTTATTGCCTGTCTCCTTTTTCCTTTTGTTATTGTTGACAATCAGCACCTTTCTTATTTGGTTAAGATTTCTTTTATCACAAGGAGTTTTCTCATCTCACGAAGAAAACTTGATTCATTGGTCTTCTTATAGTCAGGTGTCACTAATTACAGCTTCAGTCATCACGAGCCATTTTATGTTAACAGCCATTTTTTCTGCCAACTTCTATTCCCCTGATTTTAGCCTTAATTTTATTTTGCAGCGGTTACTTTGTCCGGTTTTTCCCGGTGACCCGGTCACGGTGTCCCCAGCATCAGAACTTGAGCGTCTCAGCCTGCCCTGCTTCCCCTCGATCAAGGTCACATCCCAGCTCTGCAGGTCACTCCCCCCCGCCCTCCCCCCACCCCCCTCCCCGGGGTGCCCCAGCCTCCCCCCACCTGCCTCTGGCCTCTGCTATACTCCGCAGTCTCGGTCCCCTGAGGCTGCCCCGCCGAGAGAGTCCCACAGCCCCCAGAGAAGAGCTTGCTTTGGAGATTTCCTTGAGTGTCTAGCAAGGCATCGAGTCCTCAGAGGCCCGGGGAGCTGCACCTGCCCCTGGTTAAGACGGAGACAGTGTAGCCGTGTCTCCCTGGGCGGAACGCCTGATCTGCTGGAGAAGGAGAGCAGGCTCCCGGCTGGCTCGGGGCTACCGTGGTCCTGAGTGCTCACCCGAAGGGCTGAGCACCTGACGGTCTTTATCTTCGGGGCTCAGTGACCCGAGAGAGGAGCCGGTGACCAACGTGCCTTCCCGCAGCACCGCACGGGTGGGCAGAGCTCATCTGTCAGGTCCTTTGTCTCCCGCCAGTACTTGCCAGGCGCTTAAGTCAGCTTAGAGGGGTCAAGTCAGTGGGAGCCGAGCAAGGGTTCCCGCCCCCGCCCCCCCCCCCCCCACCGCCACTTTTGTAGCCAGGAGGGCCATGGGAGGGGAAGTCTCCAGGCTGGTTAGCTCTTTTATTGCCAAGAACTAAAGTTAGGGCCTCCCCAGAATGAACTGAGACAACGACCACTTAACAACATGAACCTATTCTTGCCCTTTGACCCAAAGAGCATTTTGGCTCAAAGATCTTCTGGGGGCGCCTGGGGGGCTCAGTCGGTTGAGCGTCTGACTTCGGCTCCGGTCACGATCTCGCGGTTCGTGGGTTCGAGCCCCGCGTCGGGCTCTGTGCCGACAGCTCGGAGCCTGGAGCCCGCTTCGGATTCCGTGTCTCTCTCTCTCTGACCCTCCCCTGCTCACACTTGGTCTCTCAAAATAAGTAAACATTTAAAACAAAAGATGCCTATACCTTGCCTGCTTTTCTACTTGTCTTTTACTGAAAAGTGCTTTAGATTCTGACCAGGATACAAACCCCAACAGTGTGATTCCTGTCATCAAATGTCCATAAACGTTTTCAAACCAGAAACCGCCTGGGACAAAACTTGCTGAGCAGTCCCGTTGTTCGGTGGCGTCTGTAAATCAAGTCTCTCTGCCCCTCACTACATCACGCCGTAAGATTTTTTTGGGGGGGTGACATAGAACATAGGGTGCACGCAGACACGGGGCCACCCCAAACACTCGGCTGCCGTAACTGAGCAACGGGGGTGACTCTCCCACGAGAGCCACATGAGGCTGCTCAGGAGAGAACAGGACAGAGCGTCTGTTCCCAGGATGAGCCCCTGAGGGCCACGGGGCACACCCTCTAACACACGGCCAGACACCGGCCAGCCGCTCCCCGAAGGAGCCCCTCGTGAGGAGTGGATTCCCTTCACTGCCCGCCTTCTAATCAGCCCTTTGGATTTGCACCTCTGCCCGCCCAGCGCCGACCGCCTCCTGCAGGAAGGCCCCCGCCTCTCCAGCGGGCTGTGCGCAGGTAGGCGCCGTCTTGCCCCCGTGGTTCCCCCGACAAAACCTCGCGGTCACTGCCCAGAGCTCAACCCGGCTTGAGGCACTGGGAGGGTTCCCAGGGGATCCCTTGATGACATTCAGAACATTTAATTCCCAGGCAATGAGTCTGTGAGTCCGACGACGTGGGGGAACAGGTGCCAGCCTTGTGTTCCGTTGCATGAGATTTTGGGGGTTCTGTCATTTTAAAACCTGATGGCTTCCATTGTCACACGGGCTGGGTCCTTGTCACTTCAGCGTCCTTAGTCCCCTCCCCCATTTACCTGGCCACCCCCTCCTTTTCCCGGGAGAGGCTTCCCGCATAACCTAACCCAGCACCGCCCCTCGTTCTGTTCTCGGAAAGTACTCTGTTCTTATCACCTGTGGAATGAAGTACTTTATATTCTTGGTTAACCCAAGCGGTGCACACTCAGCAGCGATCCACAACTGGAGGCGGGCGGCAGAGACAAGGGGTGCGGGGACTGAGTGTGGCCACCATCTGGCTCCAGCCTCGAGCGGCCCCGTGTTCCCAGATCATCCCTATTTTCAAAGGGAGCCAGAAATCTCGGCTCTAAAAGCGGAGCCCCTCCCAACATTTAAATAGTGGCAAATAGTTACTGCTAGAAACACCGCGGAGGCCAAACGAAACACATCAGCGGCCCCCAGTTCGTGGCCTCTGGTTCAATACCTTCCCCGGTCGCCTCGGTGCCACAGGGGCACGTGCTGGGTCTGCCCTGCTCACCACCGCGTCTGGATCCAAGAGGCAAGAGACAGAAACAGGTGAGGGCCTCTCCCGGTGGAGCCCCGGGCTCGGAAGGAATGCTCTGGCAGGGAGCTGGCGTCCCCCGGCTGCCCGTCTTCTCGCTCTTGACCGCCCCTCGGAAAGTTCTCCGCCTCCTTCAGGCCTCACTCCCGGGCAACCGCTGCGAGCCTCCTCATCGCCTAGCCTGGAGCCGTCACAATGGCCAGCGCGGCCCCCGCCTCTGTGACATCACCAACGGCCCAGCCCTGGGCACCCAGTCTCCGGGTGCAGGCACACAGACCCACCATGAGCCATTCCCTCCCCCGCCTCTGCTCACCATGCGGACGCTGACATGGGTCTTGTTCTTGCCTCTGTGCCTCTCCTGCGGCTGTGCCTTCATGTTCACGTCTCTGAGAGAGAAAGCCAAGGAACCCCAGGGCAAGGTGCCTTGCGGAGGGCACTTCCGGATCAGGCAGAATCTCCCAGAGCACGCCCAAGGCTGGCTTGGGAGAAAATGGCTCTGGCTTTTTTTTGTCGTCGTGCTGTATGTGATAGTAAAGTTTCGAGGGGATCGCGAGAAGACTAAGGTAAAAGGGTGGGAAGGGTTTCCATCGCACCGATTCCGTCTCAAGACGCGTCCGCCCCGGAGAGGCACGCGTTCCAGTAGGTTCCGCTCCGGGTCGTGAGGCGGAACCGAGCAGGAGGCGGGGCGCCCACCTCACGGTCCTGCAAGACGTGGGCACATCCATGTCCTGACGTGTCCTTAGGGAGGCTGGCAGTCCCCAGACCCCCGGGGGGATGGGCTACCGATTGAGGACGGCCTCCTGCTCATGGGGCGAATGAAAGCTTGGCCTGATAGTCATCCTGTCAAGTGAGTCCTTTCAAAGTAAGGATAGAGTCGGGAACTTGGCGTGTTTCGGGTCAAAGTTAGTCTCAGAGACACCTTCACCGCCGGGTTCGTTCCCTGATTCTTGATTTCCCTGGCGTCTGACTTCTTACAAGTTGCTGAACTGGGGGCAGGTGGCGTCATTGTCCCCAGTAAAGGACAAGGCCGGTCGTGAAGGGGTAAAGGTGTGAAGAAGTAACAGCTCCTTCCTACAGTGGCTGAACGGCTAGCTCTCAGTCGGGAAAAAGGACAGAAACATGGCACGTTCTCTGCTAGACAGCCCCAACACTTCGTGGCACTGCGTCCAGACCGATAGAGCAGCGGTTGGCAACCCTTTTCTGGAAAGGGCCAGCTGGTCAGTGTTGTCAGCTCCGGAGCCTGTACGGTCCCCGTCGCAACTCCTCAACTCTGCCGTGTTGGGCTGAAAGCAGCCTTGTGTAATGTGTCACTAAATTGGCAAGGCTGTGTCCCAATAAAGTTTTATTTACAAAAACAACGGGAGGAAAAAAAAAAGAGAGAGAGAGAGAGAGAGGTTAGAGTGGGAGAGAGCCAAAGCATAAGAGACTCTTAAAAACTGAGAACAAACTGAGGGTTGATGGCGGGTGGGGGAGAGGGGAAAGTGGATGATGGGCATTGAGGAGGGCACCTGTTGGGATGAGCACTGGGTGTTGTATGGAAACCAGTTTGACAAATTTCACATATTTAGAAACAAAAACAAAAACAACAACAACGGGAGGTACAGATCGGGCCACAGTTCGCCAATCCCTGGCCTCGAGTGCAATGCTGGAACCACCCTTACTTAGGCCAGCCCGACTCTCTTGGAACCGTGTGGCAGCCAGCAAAGTCAACAGTATCATTCACCCTGCATATCTTTCTTGACAGGAGCAGAATCCTTCTGGGCTTCGAGGCTGCTCATTTCGCTCTCCGCTGAAGAAGACTCAGAATACTTCCCCCAGCAAAGACTATGTGTTCAATACCTTAACCCAGCTCGAGGTGGACCTTGTGAAATTTGTGTCCAAGGTGCGCAACCTGAAAGTCGCCATGGCAGCTGGAGGTAACTCCAAGCTTCAGAACCTGGAGGCGCCTGTGGACCCTCACAATAACATCACCATCTATGAGATATGGGGGGAAGAAGACTCTGAATGAATGGCTTTATGTGTCAGAGGAGGAGACAAAAAGCTGAGTGTTGACAGACCCTATGTAAACTAATAAAACTATTCTGAAGAAAAAGGATATTCTTGAATGTGACACCTTCCCCCCTCCTTCCTTTTAAAAAAAAAAATTTTTTTTAACGTTTATTTATTTTTGAGACAGACAGAGCATGAACGGGGGAGGGGCAGAGAGGGAGGGAGACACAGAATCCGAAGCAGGCTCCAGGCTCTGAGCCATCAGCACAGATCCCGATGCAGGGCTCGAACTCACGGACCGCGAGATCGTGACCTGAGCTGAAGCTGGATGCTCAACTGACTGAGCCCCCCAGGCGCCCCCCTCCTTTCTTTTTTTTTAAACCGGGGGGGGGGGGCGGAAATAAATGTGAGACCGGGGGCCACAGCAGTTCCTGTGTTGTTTTAGCTCTCCTCACCTCCTCGAGAGCAGGCAGAACACGGCGACGTGGCGGCAGAGGGTGGCGTGTGAGGCTGCGTCGCTGGGACCCCGATGGGATGACGGGCTTGGGGGAAATGTGGAATGAGCTGCCGATACCGTTTTCAGAGCTGCTGTCTTTCCAGGAGCTGTTTGCGCGAAAGACGGAGCCAATCTTTATCTGCCTAATTTATTACAAAGTCCAACTTTAGTTACGGGTGTAAAAGACAGTGCTGGGGGGCGCCCGGGTGGCTCAGTCGGCTGGGAGTCCAAGTCTCGATTTCGGCTCTGGTCATGATCTCGCGGTTCCTTGGTTTGAGCCCCACGTCGGGCTCTGCGCTGACAGCGGGGGAACCTGCTTGGGATTCTTTCTCCCTCCCTCTCTGCGCCCCACCCCCACCCCTCGCAATCTCCCTCTAAATAAATAAATGAATAAACAGACATTAAAAAAAAAGAGAACGTGATTGAATTAAGGGGGGTGTGTGTGTGCGTGCATATGTCAGGGAATGGTGGATTCTAGAATCATTTGATTTTCTTACCACCAGAAAAGTCTTTTTATTCATTCCATCTCATGGATTACACGTACTGACTTTTTCTTCTACCAAACTAGCAGTTATATATGTCTAATTGGATTAAGAAAAACAGAGAATTGATCTATATTTTCAGTGTAATTTGAATAGAGACCAGCTAAGCAGAGATTCCCAAATTAGCTGATATGAATGTTTATAATACTTATTAGGGGCGCCTGGGTGGCTCAGTGGGTTAAGTGTCCGACTTTGGCTCAGGTCACAATCTCACAGTTTGTGAGTTCGAGCCCTGCGTCGGGTTCTGTGCTGACAGTTTGGAGCCTGGAGCCTGCTTGGGATTCTGTGTCTCCCTCTCTCTCTGCCCCTCCCCAACTTTTGCTGTCTCACTCTGTCTCTCAAAACTTGATAAATGTAAAAAAAAAAAATTATAATACTTACTAAAAATATGGATATTTTCGCATGTTAGAGTAGCTAATGGAAACTACACGTACCCGAGGCTGTTCAGTTAGCTTACTGACCCCCTAATCTAGGTCAGCGCATAGTTTTATAGATGTGCAGGTGCAACCCAGGAGAGAGAAGCTAGCTGGGGAAGACCATGGAGATTCCGTATTCCTAGTTCAGTCCAAATTAATGTGTGCCTGACAGAGAAGTCCTGAATCTCCATCAGTGAATCCCCATCGTTGGGGCAAAGTCTTCAGGCTCTGTCCCCGTGTGTGTGGGAGTCAGACCTCAGACAAAAGCCGCCCGCCCATCTCTTCCCGTCTTGTCATCCCTGACACTTTACTTTTCTCGTCTTGACCTAACAGGACGGGGAGAAATGGAAGGAGCTGGGATGACCCCAGTAGTCTGAGTTTTTCAAGCAACTGGGACTATATGAGTTATTTTTGTGGCACACTGAGGACATTCAGATAAGCAAAAAATATTTGGGTTGTAACCTGTGATCTCAATATGGCACAGACTGTGGAGGTAATCTAAAAAGCCAGGGGTAGGGGCGCCTGGGTGGCGCAGTCGGTTAAGCGTCCGACTTCAGCCAGGTCACGATCTCGCGGTCCGTGAGTTCGAGCCCCGCGTCGGGCTCTGGGCTGATGGCTCAGAGCCTGGAGCCTGTTTCCGATTCTGTGTCTCCCTCTCTCTCTGCCCCTCGCCCGTTCATGCTCTGTCTCTCTCTGTCCCAAAAAATAAACGTTGAAAAAAAAAATTTAAAAAAAAAAAATAAAAAATAAATAAAAAATAAAAAGCCAGGGGTCAACGAACCATGGCTCACAGGCCAAATCGAGCCTGCTGCCTGTTTCCATACTACCCATGAGCTAATAATGGCATTTATTTATCTATTTATTGCTATATTTTTTTTTAATTTTTTTTTCAACGTTTATTTATTTTGGGGACAGAGAGAGACAGAGCGTGAACGGGGGAGGGGCAGAGAGAGAGGGAGACACAGAATCGGAAACCGGCTCCAGGCTCTGAGCCATCAGCCCAGAGCCCGACGCGGGGCTCGGACTCATGGACCACGAGATCGTGACCTGGCTGACGTCGGACGCTCAACCGACTGCGCCACCCAGGCGTCCCTATTGCTATATTTTTAAGCAGCTTTCTTTTTTGGGGGGTTCTGTTTTGTTTCATTTTTTCACACAAGCATGGAGCCCAATGTGGGGCTTGAACTCACAATGCTGAGATCAAGACCTGAGCTTAACCGACTCAGCCACCAAGGTGCCCCTGGCTTTCATATTTTTTTAATTTTTTAATTTTTGGAGAGAGAGAGAGAGTGCACGCGCTCAACTGGGGAGAAGGGCAGAGGGAGAGGGAGAGAACCTCAAGCAGACTCCACGCTCAGGGCAGATCCAGATGTGGGGCTCGATCCCACGACCCTGGGATCATGACGTGAGCTGAAATCGAGAGTCAGACGCTCAACCGACTGAGCCCCCCAGGCGCTCTTGGTTTTTATATTTTTAAATGATGGAAAAAAAGATGAGTAATATTTCATGACATGAAGGTTACACGAAATTCAAATTTCCGTTCGTACCTTTTATTGGCACACAGCAACACCTGTTCATTTCCATATCGCCTATGGCTGGTTTTGTGCTCAATGGCAGTGTTGAATCATTGCAACCGAAACCCTATGACCCACAAAGCTGAAAATGTTTACTGACCGGCCCTTTATAGGAAGTTTGCCAACCCCTAGTTTATTCTAATCTTATTTACATGTTAAGAACCAGGAAGAGTGTTCAAGAGGAGTAGGTATAGTCACCTGTAACCCTCACAAACATCCCACATTTGTCTGATAGGCAAAAATGTAATTTTAAGGTTTATTTATTTTTGAGAGCGAAAGAGAGCATGAGCTGAGGAGGGGCAGAGAGAGAGAGAGAGAGAGAGAGAGAGAGAGAGGGAGATACAGACTCTGAAGCAGGCTCCAGGCTCTGAGCTGTCAGCACAGAGCCCGACGTGGGGCTCGAACTCATGAACTGCGAGATCATGACCTGAGCTGAAGTCAGAAGCCCAACCGACTGAGCCACCCAGGCACCCCCCCCCTTTTTTTTTTTTTTTTTTTTTTGCTTTCTTAAAAAGAGAGTGAATGTATGAGCTGGGGAGAGGAGCAGAGAGAGAGAATCTTAAGTGGACTCCTCGCTGAGCTTGGAGCGCAACACGGGGCCCGATCCCACCACCCTGGGATCATGACATGAGCCATGATCAAGAGTCAGATGCTTAACCGACTGAGCCACCCGGGCGCCCCCGAATTCTGCTGTTACGGCATAAAATCCTAGCATCGCTACGCTCTGGGGTGTGAAAAGAGGAGTCGACAGGCCAACTGTAAATGCCGACTCACCGTGGTCACGTATCGCTGACACCCTGGTCAGAGGGGCTCGCCCCCCAGGGGTCGTGGCTGTGGGACTCACGGTGGCTTTCTCCCTCAAGGCCAGCAGGAGGAGGAGGAAGCGTCCAGTCTCACGTGACGCAAGAAAATGAGAGGAGCCACAGCAGCCACGTGACCTACCGGTTAGAAACAAGTCCCTGCAAGGGAGGGGATGACAGCAGGTACGAGCCCCACGGCAGACCGCGCCGCAGAGAGGGAGGCCGCTCCCGTGCAGGGGATGGGGACTTCACGGGGACCCTAACCAAGAAGTGAGAGGACAGCCAGTGCCCTGCTTGGCATGGTCACCGCAAGGCCTTTCTTGGGGACCTGGGCGTGGCTGGTGGGCAGAACCCAGAGGGGCTTGTGTGGTCAGGCTCTCCCTCGAGCGTGGACGGGAGCCAGGACTGTGACGGGGCGGTCACCCCACGGTCGCGGCGTGTCCCGTGAGGCTCCGTCCTCGCCAAGACGCCCTCCTCGGGCTCTCGCGGTCACACCGCGGCCACACGGATTCTAGCAGCAACCAGTGGCCTGGGAGAGGCCCCCCGCGTCGGACGAGACCCCAGCTGGCGCTGGGAGTTCAGCCTGGTGACACCCTGAGCAGAGAAGCCTGCTGCCTGAACCCACGCTCCTGACTCGCAGAAAGTGTGCCGTAATAAATGCGTGTTAAGCTTTCAGTCACTGAGTTGGTAGCAATTAATTACACAGAGACGGAGCGTCAACGCAGCACGCGCACACAAGTTTTGCATCTTTCCACCTGCCGTCTCTGACGCCCGCAGTCAGACCTCGGCATCGGCCTCGGAATCGGAGAGCTGGGACCAGAGGATCCGGCATGCGAACGTCCCGTCCCCTGACACCAGAGGATCCAATCTGCTGGCTCGGGGACCAACCCTCTCCCTGCCCGCCCGTCACGTCTGCTTGGCCCACAGTCATCCTCTGAAGATTTTACTTTGAAATCATGACAGATTCGCAGGAAGTTGAAAAGGTAGAACAGGAACTCTCCTCGTACCCTTCGCCCGGTTTCCCCGGTGGTTGCGGCGGGTGTAACCAGGGGCCTGACATCGGGACCGCGTGTGTGGACAGTTCTGTGCCACTTTGTCCCACGTGCAGCTTGCAGGAAGCCCCCTCGCAGCCAAGGCCCAGGGCTGGCCCAGCTTGGGAGGCCTCCTTGCAAGGGCACCAGAACGGCCTGCCCCACCATCCCGCCCCCGGCCACCACCGATCTATTTCCATCTCTAGGACTTGGTTGTTTTGAAGATGTCACGTGACTGGAGTCGTCCAG